TCTTAAAAGTCGTGGGAATGATTTTTTTTTCTCACATTTGAGGATTGTTAGAAATGAAGCCACCAACGTTTGGTGCCGAGAGTTGTTCCAAGGGAAGTTCAGAATTGTGTCTCCCTGGTGGCACGGTGTCTTGTCGATGGAATGAAGAAAACTGTCCTTTGTACAATAGTTAAAATATTCCATTTTTAAATATTATGAGTCATATCTAAATACACATAGCTATCATAAATTTGAGCTCTGTATATGTCAGTTAACGGTGTCTTTAAAAAGTAAAATAATAAACCCAAATATGCTTAGGTTGGTGTCCTGTATTAATAAGACAACCACTTGTTATTTGCAGTAATCAGATATCAGGAAGGAACTTTTATGATCAACAGTTTCCAAGCCAAGTGCCACTTAGTGTCCGGCCCTTCATTATCTATTATTTGAACCCTGATTGTTAAAGGGCAGAGACAGCTGTTGTCCCTGTTGGACAGCATCAGCTGGGATCTCAAATGGAAACATAGCAGAAGGTGTTCTTTACAATTACTTTTACAGTAAATGAATACGTATAAAAAAGCCAAAAATAAATTTTGTCAGTCTATTCATTTTCAGGAAAAAAAATCTGTAGAATGTTATTTAAGTATTAAGCACAAAATTGGATTGTCTAAAACATTTCACAATTTTTCACCATGAGGTATCATTAAAATTCAGACCAATAGTCTGAATATTTTTTTTAATTTTCCATCTAAAATTTTCATTAAAAGTCTTAACCACTTTCTGTAGAATCTTCCATTTTTTGGAAATATGTATTGAATGGAAGAAACTATAGATTTTCGATGAAATTGTGAATGTGACAATCAGTTATATATAGGTAATGTAAAACTGAAAAATAAAAGGGATATTGTGTATTTTTATCAATAAAACTATTAAATTTAACTTGTCGAGAATAATAAATACTGCCGAACCAAATATACCTTGTCTGTATCGCTAAGTGCCAAAGGAAGCAGTAATACCTCGTAAGCGAGGGATTTGTTTAGCCTTTTTGCGTTAGCTGAGCCTGTGAGGGATGCATCATTGTGTTAGGAGATGTAGTTTTCTCGTTGGCTCCACAGAGCTACCTTTCCAATCCCCCCCGAGCCTTTCTAAGGCAGGCTCCCGTTCTGAAGCTTCCAGTTGTTAGAATGCATAGCCTAGCATCGTTCAGTATTACTGTACTTTGGGTAATATCTTCATGACTGTATTTCTTACATCTTCCATTTGCTATGGCTTATACATACCATCGAGTAATTTCCTATTTAATATATGGTTTGTTGTGTTATTTCCCTTCAAGTAAAACTTGTAAATGGTAATATATGGTAATAAAATAATCTCCAAGTCCCCCCAGGTCTCAGCAGCTTGTTCTTTGGCAGGAACTCTTCACGGGAAAGTCCGTATCTCGTCCTGTATTCCAGCTTCTGCTCATAAATCGATGTGTGGAAAACTTGATCTGTGTGGCTCAGTCAGGAAGACATGAACTGACCACTTCTGGGATGAGAAAGCTCGGGCTTGCCCAAGTGCAGGGCAGAGCGCCTCTCAGCAGTTCCTTGAGGGGTTTTAAAACGTATTCATGTTTCTACCACATGCTCCTTTCATGGAGGTGGGTCCCTCGCTTCAGTTTTCGCCTGCCGCCATTCAGGCATTTAAAAAATATGGTCCGTTGATTCAATTCAGCGGTTATTAAGTGCTGGCAATGCACATGCCTTTGTGCTCTGTTCTGGAGCCATGAGGACAAAATCAGAATTGATATAAAATGCACCTTCCCAAGTCAGTGGAGCTCATTTCAAGAAGGGAGCACTAGGAAGTGCGGGCATAAGGAAAGGATTCCCTTAAGAGGTGACCTGAGATGAAGCTTGCAGGAAGTTCAGGATTCTGAGAGGCAGAGGAGGGAGGGCATTCTGGCACTGGCCGCAGCCTATGAAAAAGCATAGGGGTGGGAAATGGAATGTCTGGTTTGAAGAACAGCTAGAAAGCAGTCCAGCTGGAATGCTAAGTGAAGGAAGAGGGGAAGTAGGGGGCAGCCAGATTGTGGAGGGGGTAGATGCCAAGATGGGGCATTTGTGCCTTATCCTAGGGACACCTAAGGTTTTTGAGCAGGGAAGGGCCATGGTCAGAGCTGGGGGGTTAGGAATATTAATTTAGCAACTTGGGGGTGGGTAAGTGTGGATTGGGGAGGGGATAGATTAGAAATGAGAATGATTAGGAGGCTGCAAGAATTAACGAGCATCGGAACTAGGATGGTAACCAGAGCACCAGGCCTGGAGTCAGGAAGACCTGGGTTCAGATCCCACCTTAGACGCACTGGCTGTGTGCCCCGGGTAACCTTGGGTACCTTCCTTCTCCTGCCTGAGCCTTCAAGGTTCTAGAAGCTGGGGTCATCCTCCGTCACAATAACCGGTTATTATCAGTACTCATTCTCCTCATTCTGAGACCACATCATGCCAGGGTGGTCACCATCCACTCTCAGTGGCACTTTTAGAAGGGTCTGAACTCCCCCAGGCGATCCTGAGCTAGCTCAGATTTCACTGTGGGCTTGGTATCGGGCCGTGTGTCTCTTTTGCCAAGGACTGGCTCAGCTGAGCGTCATCAAGCTAACAACCTAGGGCCGAGCCCCCAACGGCGGGTACACAGATCTCAGAAAGTGTTGAACCAATGCAGACTGAAGGCTCGAGATGTTTATCTTCCACATGGGTTTCCAAGGCACCTTGTTTAGAGGTCGGCTCCAGAAAGCTCAGACTTAATTCAGAAAGCACCGTGAAAGGGCCTTCGATGGGCCAAGAACCATGATTGATTCTGGGGACACAAACAGAAACAAAATGTTCCTCACCCCCAAGAAGTTTATTTTTTCCTGCATGTACATGGATAAATAGAAGAACACAAAGTAGTATCAGAGGCACCAACGGATAAGCAGCAAAGCGTCACCTGTCTCCAAGAAGGGGCCTTGAGGGAGGTCAGTTGTGCAATGTCACCCACAGTAAGCAGCAAGCAGAGTGGATGGGTGGGAGGAAATCTGAAGTCAATCTGGAAAGATAACATGAAGACTTTAAATGCAAAACAGGAACTTTATTTTATCCTGGAGGCAATAGGGAGCCAGTGAGCCTTCTTGAGGGAGTGCAGTGATCAGCCCTTTCAGTACTGTTAGTGATAGTGGTTTGGCAGCCATGCAGAGAAGCAGCAGAGGTCTCATCCTCACGATGGCAGAGCCCAAGCACCAGGCAAGTTCAGCCCTGTCATACCTACAACAAGGATTAAAAATATGAAAGCATCGGATCAAGCAAAAAATCAGGAAATCCAAAAAGAAGCTACAGCAAGGGCATTTTGCCAAGCAGGGTCCTCACAAAAGCCACCAGAAGCCTGTGATATCTGGGTGGGGTCCAGACAGAAAGGCCTGCCCCAGAGGCAGTCACCGCAGCTGTCCTGCATGGACCAGAGACAGTCCAGGGAATCCTAGAGGCAGGAGTGCAAGAGATCATGGCGCCCCTGCATCAGACCTCCCAGGTGCAGGCCATTGAAAGAGCACCTACTATGTGCTAAGAGCCTTACAAATAGCATCGCCTTTGAGCCTCACAACCACCCTGGGGAGAGGTGCGGTTATTCTCTACATTTTATGGATGAGGAAACTGAGGCAAGCAGAGATGGAGGGACTAGCCCCTTCTGTCTGAGGCTGAATTCAAACCCAAGGCTTCCTGACTTCAAGTCCAGGCCTTAATCCACTGTGCCTCTGGGGTCTTCTCATCCTATGTGAATTCATCTGGAATGTGGAGACAATCACAGTTCCTCCTTTGCAGAGTTGGCCTGGAGGTAAAAGGGCCATGTTCACATAGAGCCAAGCAGCCTCACTGAAGCAATTTGGATGTTGGGAAAGACGGTCTGGGGAAAGGCAGGTGGGGTGGAGAGTGCAGCCCACACACGGTTTGACTGGGACCCAGAGAAGAATTGGAAGAAAGATTGTATTCATTGCCTGTAATCCTACCACCATAAGAACATCGAGTCCAGCACCCCCCTTTTGCAGGTAGAGAGCCAGGTGGCAGGTAGCAAAGCCTGGAGTTTTACCCAGTTCTTAGGCCCTAAATTAATGTCTCTTTGTGGCATAGAACACAACCTCTCACCAATATCCTCATTCTCCAAATGGAGAGGTTCAATGGGCAAAGTCAGTTGACTTTCCCAAAGTCACCCAGCTGACCAGTGGTATAGCTGGCCTCCCCAGGCCACAGGGGCAAAGAGAGTCCTCCAAAGGGGCTTCCTGGGAATATTGAATGTGTGAAGAAGGGGTGGGTTAGGAAATGACTCCTTCAGGAGGACGACAGATGCTTTAAAATGAGAAAGATTGAAGAAGTGAGAAAAGACTGAAAATGTTTGTTGGTAAAGAAACTCATGTAAGTAAGAAAAAAGAACACATGTATTTGTAAAGGGCTTTAGGGTTTGTGGATGGCATGTTTTATCTGGAAAGTAGGCATGTCTTTTCCATTTTACAGACCAGGAAACTGAGGCACATAAAAGGTAACCAAACCAGGGTCATGCATCTGGTCTGAGATTGACAAGCTCGCTGCCTAACTCCTAGTCTCCCTAGGAGATCAAAGCAGAGTGACCACAATGACCTAGCTGACTATTAATCTTTGTCTCCGAATAACCATTTCTAAAGCAGAACTGCCAACTGAAACAGCTGCTCTGGCAGCCATCACCAAGGCCGCCCTTGGCCCAGACAGAGGAAGAAGGGGTCTGGGGGCCACACTTCCCCCTCTTCCGTCTCCT